GCTATATGTAAGTATATTTGCCTTTAGTCATAAAAAAAAGATGCCACTAAACAAATATATTAAAAAATACTGTCTTTATGTTGTTTCTAAATTAATTTGAAGATTGAATGTGAAATTATTGCAAAATAAAAATATATTTAAAAACTTTAATGTTAGGTGCGATGAATTTCAGGAAAAAAATGTGCAATTAATTAGTTATTTTTTTTAATTGATTGACAGCAATTATATATATATATATATATATATATATATATATTATGTTGTGCTCAGATCTCCTGATTAAATATTCTATAATGGTGAAGACAGTACAATAAAAGTGCTAGCCGGATTTATGAAGTTATATAAAGATTATAACGTCATAGTTTTATGTAATGGATATTTTTTATTTATTTTTTCATACAGAAAGGATAAACTATCTTGTAATGTTTTCACACCCACAGTTTTGAAATCAGCCTCAGGAATCATCTCTTTCATTAACCAATGATTTTATAGAAACATGGTAAACTATTGATCCGCCGAGATAAAAAAAAAAAAAAAAAGCTCAAAACATTCCAAACAAAGTCCCGAAGTAAGACATATCACCATTTAAACTCAAATAAGCCACAGCTGCACAATGTCTTTTCAGGTTTTGAAGTGAAATAAACCTTTTGTGATGATGATGACAACAATAAAAAGGCACTGAAATCGAAAACAATAACTGAAATAAGCGCGCTGGCAATTGGTTGTATTTCTGCTGTTGTGTATGTCAAGGCAGAAACAAATGACAGCAATAGGAGCTGCAAATTTCAACAATGACAAGCTGTTGTTATCAGTGAACTGTCTGGGTGACAAAACTGTCAGTCACTGAAACTTTTGAGAAAGACAAAGAGTAAGTTTAGCAATTTTGAATTGTTTGTACCAGGCTAATCTGCATTATCAGCAGCTCTCTAAAGGTTTTATTTCCAACAAAATAACTCTGCTGAGACACAATGCTCTCCCATCACTCCTGTTTTCTTTCATATATTATGCATCATTCCATATCAGGCATAATTTAATATAGGTGGCTCTTAAATCTCATGCTGCTTCACTGTATCTCTGTTTCCAAAAGCATTTTGTGGAAACTGCTTTATATATATGGAGTCTGGCATAGACTACTGCCAATTGTCATAGACGTAAAGCTTGAGTATGATTTATGTACGAATAAGCTCTAAGGCTATGACTCTCATGAAAATAAAAAAAAAAATCATTTTCTAGAATCAATTTAAAATTCAACCATTTTTTTCTTTAAACCTAATATATGTTGCGTCATAAACCACCTCTGGTCCACTGTTGTAATTTTCTTAATTTGTTTTCCATTTCTTGTTAGGTAATGATTCTCAATACAATAGTCATTTATTGCACATATATTATTATATTTTATAAGTTATTTTATTTGAAACAAGGGCTTGAACCCTATTGAAAGACTCATACAGCTACCAACTATCTTTAGTAAATGTACTTTTCATTAAAAGGTGTACTCGATGAACGATAAAGGATTTTATTTTACTGCTGTGGCATGAAGGACAATGCTATAATAAAGACAAGTATCTGCCATCTCTCTTGTGGAACGCATATTGCATCTGGGACTTGATGACTTGTTTTGTGAGGGCGTATTTTAGAGGCCAGATGGTATTTGCCAATGCACAAACAACCACAGGTAGAAACTAACAGATGAGACCTCAGAACCGTCAAGACGTCAGGCTCAAAAGACATCTATTTTTGTCCGTGGGTGGGAAAGACAGCTTGCAGCTATGAAATAGAACAAACAATGATCCACAAACAGCCCCCAAACTCCACGCAAAACAACACTGTGGAAGAGAAAAGGCATTATGGGAGAGTTACAGACTCTCTGCCAATTCTATTTACTAGTGGAACAATATGTCACCACCCTCTCGATGTCTCATTAGGCTCTGGTAGTTTTATCAGTAAACACAGTACTATAATGTCTCCCAACCAGTCCCAATCTGAAAAGTGTTTTAATAGGTAACAACATTCAATGTCAATAGCATGTAGACATTTAATATTTTAATTTAACATAATTTGCTATTCCTCTTTTTTTTTCTATTTTTCATTTCTCTTTTTTCTATTCAATCACAATAAATCTTTGGGTAGAATGCATTTTTATTTCATAGCATTTCCTAAATTCTGCACTTTATTCGCTTGTTTGTTTATTCATTACCTGCTTTTCCTGTTGTTTTTGTTTTCTCAAGAAAATTGCACATTTGGCAAAGCATGTAAATGTTGTTTCCTGAAACAACCAAGCACTGATGCTACAAGAACATATTGTACCTTATGTACATTGCAAGCATGACAAACCGTTACTGCAGAATTTTCAGAACGATTGCCAAAAAACCTATTATCAAGAAAAATATTTTCCTGTCAATAAAATCTCTCTTACCTATTACAGAAAAAAAAAAAAAAAACTAGCACAGCATGTGAGAGACAGCTCACATTTACTTACTACTGTTATTTATTTTTTGTTTTATTTTCACTGGCATTTGTTTTCATTGTCCAAATTTACACATGCAGCTGCTTTGGCTGTGTTGCCATATACATAAAGCACAATTAATCTGAAACTGACAGTGGGCAACAAGTATATTTTGTTAATTCACTAAATGAGGGTTTCCAACTATACACAGATTTAGCTATTTTCTCAGAAGTACAATGTAAATTATATTTCACTTGAGTAAACAAAAATGGTTTCTCTTTTTGTGATATTTCAATAGCAAGACCATTGCCTTCCATTTAAAAAAAAAGACATTCCTCAAAACATCACCTTTTATGTAATAAGAAAGTCATACACAGATTTGGAACAATATGAGGGTGAGTAAATGATGACAGAATTTTCATTTTTGGTGAACTACCACTTTAAGCCATAGAATATCCTTTCAAGTAAGTATCACAATCTTGGAGGCATTTTCCCACATTCGGATTTCCATATTTGAAATACTGACATGCTTCTCTCCTCATTTCAAAATGAATGTGATAATAAAACCCCTGTATATGTATGTCCATTCTCCACTGAACGACATTGCATGGTACAGGTCTAGCCAAATACAACCTAACAGCCATTAAACAGCAAGGGGACACATTGAGAATGAGTGAGACTTGAGCTAATTAAAAGTAGATAATTATTTCAGCAATTAACCTAAAAAGTTAGACCCATTCAGACATCTTAGCGTATACGAGATGTAAAGAGCCCGGAGGTAAAATGGTAGCTTTCCATTAGACAGACTAGGAATTAACATTATGTTCAAAGCTGGAGCAAATACAAATTTATCCAAAATTAATGCACACAGTTTATTGTTGCCTTCGATTTCATTGCTTATGGCAAATTTGATGGTACATTAACTTTATAGTGCTGCATGACGGTCCAAAATCATTAAACATTAATATACAATTATGGAATTTATTTTGAATGGCTCTGCTTTGTTTTAATCAGGGCCTGTGTCCAGGGAATAGTTATCATACGATCTGGCAGACTTTGATTTAGGGATGGCTGGTTTTTACTAGCCTGTTCTGTGTGACCTTAGCATTCTGGCACCGGCAAAGATAGCATATTCGCTCTCAAGGACGTAGTGTTCTAGTGATTCATAAATGCTCACACTAAGCAAGAACATTAAAAGGTCTTTCAAAGTCACACTGACTGTAGAGATAACATGTTCACAACATAAAACAAAAGTCTGAGCCATATGGCAAGAATCTATTTAAAAGTAAATATGTGAAATAAGTATCAATTTCATTTATTCTTACTATTCAAGTTGGCTTTATCAAACAAACATTAAAATGGAGAAATAGTGTTGATCTTACAAGTTTTAGTTTTTTTGATCATGGTTTTCTGAGGGGGAGAGATACTGCATAATCATATATATAGGACGTTTCACCTAAGAGAAAATTAAAATAAAGATACTGGACATTACAAACCAAAAAGTGTAGTGTTTGTTTAATGACATTTTCATGCAGAACCAACTGCATGCGATCCTGAGCACTGACAAGTAGCAGAATCCATCAATCAACCAAACTGTATATGAACAGGATAGTCGGAATAGTTCATAAGCTAGTTTTAAGTCTAATTTCTCAGTCTTACAACCCCTTTGGTCTTCTTAAAAATTGGCCAGTTCCCAGTGAAATAAAAATTGTAATGCCAGTTCTTTTCCAATATTACCATCTCCCTCCCTGTTGTTTTGTTCCTAGATATTTATAGCTTTTGGCAATAGAAGGTTAAGTGAACTATAATGTGTTCATGTATGAAATTCAGCAGCAGAGGCATAAAGCTGAGAATTGTAGAGGGAAAACAATACAAACATCTTTCCAGCTGTTAGTGAGAGACTACTCAGCGCATGTCTAGAATCCTTGCTGACGATCCAATTTTAATATTCTTTACATTGTAATCACATAGAATGCATTTCATTCTCATTAAGTGAAAGCTTTCCTGGAGCTCTGTATGTGAATAAAACAGTGCAAAAGCTTCACAGACTTTTCATGTTAATATATTTCTATAATATTTAAAGGGATTGTTCACCCAAAAACGAAAATGTACTCACCCCCTAGTTGTTACAAACCAGTATGAGTTTCTTTCTTCTGTTGAACACAAAAGCAGGTATTTTGAATAATGTCGATAACCAAACAGTTGACGGCCTATGGTAGTCAATGGCTACCGTCAGCTGAAACTCATACTGGTTTGAAACAAGTGGAGAGTGAGCACTGAGCACATAACAGAATTTTCATTTTTGTGTTAACTATCCCTTTAAGAGAACACTTTATTGTAATTATCACATCAGTGTTTAAGTGAACGTTTGTTCGTACAAATGTCAATCTAAATTTAAGCAAGTTTTGGTCAATGGATAAATAAAATGAACAGATTGTGGAAGGATTCGACCCCAGTATACATTTATAAGGAGAATCATTTTATTTGCGTAATTTTAGCCTATGCTTTTAAGTTTCAGGAAAGCATGGGATAAAGAATGAGAAAAACACAGTAATGTAATTGGTCATTTTATTTACAATAACATTACAGGATCCACACCAGAAGAAACTGAGAGCTGCGTTGCACAAGAATCACACTGACCTAAAAAACAACAACACAAAGGAGCAATGTAAGAGGAGAACAAAAATGGCATCCTAACTTATTAAATGGTTATTGTTCAGAATGGTTCACAATATGGCAGTGTTTAAACTTTAATGAAGATAAAGAGCATTAAAGGTCATTTAGAGACAAGCCATGAAGCACATGTCCTCAGAATGTGTAATATGCAAAGTTACTTACAATGTGTGACTGGTAGGAGCTTCACTTCTTCAGGATCTGATGCCTGACAACAATGAATGGGAAGGCAAATCCACTGCCAAAGAACAGCACCATCATGCCAAGAAGCTTAAGTTTCAGGAAAGCATGGGATAAAGAATGAGAAAAACACAGTAATGTAATTGGTCATTTTATTTACAATAACATTACAGGATCCACACCAGAAGAAACTGAGAGCTGCGTTGCACAAGAATCACACTGACCTAAAAAACAACAACACAAAGGAGCAATGTAAGAGGAGAACAAAAATGGCATCCTAACTTATTAAATGGTTATTGTTCAGAATGGTTCACAATATGGCAGTGTTTAAACTTTAATGAAGATAAAGAGCATTAAAGGTCATTTAGAGACAAGCCATGAAGCACATGTCCTCAGAATGTGTAATATGCAAAGTTACTTACAATGTGTGACTGGTAGGAGCTTCACTTCTTCAGGATCTGATGCCTGACAACAATGAATGGGAAGGCAAATCCACTGCCAAAGAACACATGCCACATGCCAAGAAGCCTCCACTTGTTCTCTACAGAGAATGGCAAGTTCTGCAAATAAAATGCAAAAAAAAAAAAAAGAATAAATAGAATAGCAAATAGAATTTAATTTAATTACTCTGACTTTCTTGATTTTGTAATTAAAGACATGCTTTCGTCAACTTAATTACACTGAACAAGGTCTTTGTGTCATAGCCAGAATTCTCAAGTAACTATAAGCAGGAATCCAACAGCTTCTGACTAATGAATTTCCATAACACGAATTTCAAGTCATTTGTCATAATAAAAAAAAAAAGAAAAGAAAAAAAAGAAAAAGTTATGATAGAAATTAGAAGTTCCCACATCCTTAGATCTATGAACTTCCATAACTTTTCTGGGATTTTTGCAGTCGCCACTAGTTTGATAGACAGATAGATAATAAATCACAAAGATCAGTTAATAGCTAATTAAAATATTTAGGAGCTAAACATAACTACAAATACGGTCATGGCCAAAAATATCAGCACCCTTGGTAAATATGATCAAAGGCGGCTGTGAAAATTAATCTGCATTGTGCCTTTTGATCTTTTATTTTAAAAATTCACAAAATCTAACCTTTCATTGGATAATAAGAATTTAAAATGGGGGGAAATCTCATTATGAAATAAAGGTTTTTCTCAAATATACGTTGGACACAATTATTGGCACCCCTAGAAATGATTATGAGTAAAATATCTGTGAAGTATATTCCCATTCATATTTACAATTTTGAGCATACCAGGGTGATTATGAACATGAAATTATCCAGCCATGGCTTCCTGTTTCACAGGAATATAAATAGGAGGGAAAACAAGGCCAAATTCCCTTAATCATCCATCACAATGAGAAAAACCAAAGAATATATTTCTGATGTGCAGCAAAAGATAATTGAGCTTCACAAATTAGAAAGTGACTTTAAGAAAAGAACTAGAGCAGTGAAAATTCCCATTTCCACCATCAGGGCAATAATTAAGAATTTCCAATCAACAGAAAATGTTACAAATCTGCCTGGAAGAGGACGTGTGTCTATATCGTTCTAATGCATGGTGAGGAGGAGAGTTTGAGTAGCTAAAGACTTTCCAAGGACCACAGCTGGAGAACTGCAGAAAATAGTTGAGTCTCAGGGTCAGAAAACCTTAAAAAAAAAAATCAAACAGCACCTACACCACATGTTGTTTGGGAGGGATTGAAGAAAAAAAAAAATCAAGTAAAGAAAATGCTCTCATCCAAAAACAATCCCCAGCATATTCTGTTGTCAGACACGACTGGAACTTCAAATGGGACTGGCTTCTATGGTCAGATGTAACTAAAAACGAAAACTTGTTTAGACACACGGCATCACTGATTCTATCAAATACCAACAGATAAAAAAATCAATAAGTGACTGAAAATTTAGAGCTGTTAAACTGGCAAATGGAGGTTTCAAAAAGTATTGCGTAAAAGGGTGCCGTTAATTGTGGCCAATGTGTATTAGAGAAAAAAAAAAATTTCATAATGGTATTTCCCCCCATTTTAAATTCTTATTATCCAATGAAAGGTTCGATTTTTGTGAATGTTTAGAATAAAAGATCAAAAGGATTAACAATGCAGATTAATTTTCACAGCCTTCTTTGTTCATATTTACCAAGGGTGCCAATATTTTTGGCCATGACTGTATATATTAACTATAT